ATATAAAACTATTAAAAATTTAAAAGAAACTTGTAGTATTAAATAAAAACTCAACCATGCCAACTGTGCATTCGTTAGAATTTTGATAAGAACATGAAGGAGAAGCTATTATAGAAAAAAAAGAAAAACAAAACTTTATTTGTACGCACTTTTGTATGCTGGGAAAAGCAATACTTTTACGAACAACAAAACATATATTATCAATAGACGTAAAATTAGTGATAAAATTCATGTAAACTGAAAATATTTTATCGCGCATTCCTCTTATTTTGTCATTCTCCGATTCAAAATTAGAGGTGTGTAAAACCATAACTATTAATACATGTATTACTTTAAATGTGCAGTTGCAGTTATTACTCTAGTTAAAAGGAGTCAATATATCACATCTTGAGCCTTAAATTGTTAAATCACCAGTCCAATTCAATAACAACTAGGCCAGGCATGGCCCGATAAAGAGAATTCTTAGTTCTATCCCAACAAAGCCAAATGCAAAACTTAAATTTCTTGTAGATTTTTGTATCAGAGAAACATTGTGAATTAGGACAGAATGTTCTGAAGGGTCAACAATGATAAAGGACTTACTATATATATATATGCTATTCTTCTTATGGAACTCGCTAGCTCGAGAGTATTAGTTGAATGTATAGAAGTCAATATTTACTTCTTTTTTTAAATGAATCTAGGATCGAAAATCACTGGAATTTCTTTTATACTTAGGACTGTTTCTTTTAAAGAAGAAGCATAGTTGTAAATAGAAATAACTGTTTTGCTGATGAAAATAATAAGGCAGATCTTGTAAAGATGTTGGAGTATTTCATAAAGAAAGGTAGTAAACCAAAAAATAGCCTATATAATTCTTATCGACTGATTTGATCAAGATTTTACGAAACAGTCTTAGCGCTTCTAGACACGCAATATGATACTTAAGCAGATACGTTATTACTTAGGTTATTAAGCTTATAGCTACTATATTATAAAAAGTAAGGATATGAAGAAGGTTCGCTTCGCTTTCTCCGGCACATCATTTGCAAAAATGCACACCTCTCATAATTTTGTTGGTCAAATACATTTTATCTCTAAACATTTGGCTAAAATTTAGATAAATTACTCATCTGTCACGATGATTTTTACAGATCAGGAATTGTTTAAACAATGCACTGTCTATTATTCAGTATTGAAATTGTAAAAATATTGGAAATTTCTCTTTGATATCATAAAAGGAAATCGGAAACAGGGGTTTCCTGCAGCATTCTTGCCTACTGGGCTCCAGTTCTTAATTCAAGGCCGGTTTCCGAGTGTGTTAACCAGCTAATATAATAATCCTCCGAACAGAAGTAATCCTTGTAACAGTTAATCCCGACATCCTAATTATATAATAACGGTCATTACGTTGTATAGCAATTATTCTCGGCATAATGGAAAATTTAAATATGTGTAAAATTGCAGTAACGAAAAAGATACAACAAAGGCGAATACATACTATATGTAGTTATATACATACACATACAATCGAATATGTTAGCTTTGAATCTCTACTCTTAACCATGAAAAAGAAATATCGTGGAACATAAAGTGCTGGTAGTAAATTGTTCACAATACAGTGTGTTTAATTATGTTTTTGAATTAAGTTTATGTGGGGTCAAACTCGACATGCTAGCATTAAACTGACTAGCCTAAAACTCATTATATGTCATGGTTATACCACAGAGAACTGATGTTTGTTTTTGTCTCATAATATGTTACATCGAAAAATTTCCACTTTTGTCAAGGTTTTCTTGTGTTTTGGTTTCTTTGTTTCTGAAATATTTAAATACTAGTGTACAGCCCGTCAAAAATGACGGGTATTAAGAAAACTCTGTAAAAATTGCAATAAATTAACTAACGAAAATTATAGGAAAAAGGAATCGTACATTATAAGTTGGAAAGTAATAATAACAGGTCAGTTTTAGTGAATGGAGACGAATGGATTTCGTGATTTAACTCAAACGAATGTAAGGTGAAATGAATTGAAAATCGTAAGTTTCCACTGTTAATATTTCTTTAATTGCGTAATTTAAATACTATGCGTTCACGCTTATACACATGTAATTAAATATTATCTGACTCTAATATTTGTAATAGTAGGACTATTTGTATTATAATTTAAGCATTCGGCATAATATTAATACCTAAACGTAACGTAAGGCTTAGCTGAAACACTACTTCATTGAATTAATCGATAACTTTTATTTTGCTTTTCTCTACAACTCAATGTCAAAAAACTTAGATTTTCATTAAACAACTGAGGAAATATAAATAAAATGTTATTTAACTTATCACGGTGCGATAAGAGAGCCTCGAGTACTATTTGTTTTGTAATTGAGCCTAAAGTAAAGACGCAGTGTGCAATAACTTACCCTAGGCCCAAGTGCATAAAACTTTTCATGAAAGAAAAATATTAATTCTAAATCTAAATCATTTCTGAATTAAACTATTTTGCTGCTATATAACCGAAGTTATCAAAAAATAAAGAATAAAAAAACATATCTTTCTAACAAATCAACATGTATGAAGCATTTAACATAAACACCATAGTTGGCCTAATAACGCCCAACAGTTGGTAGTTTTACTACTAAGCAGCAATGTAAATTGTAGACCATTACCAAAAAAGGAGCGTGACACGAAGACAGAAACTGCTTATTATATACTATTATATTCTGTTCATACACTCCGATAATAAAGATGTGCTCAAATAAGAAATTTAGAACTTCCAAGAATGAAATATTTTTTGTATTTAATGGCATTAGAAAACAAAGGAATGTGAATCAACTTGGGGCACCAGGACTATCCAGAAAGAGATCGAGAAGCCAAAGTGTGACGTCTCGTAAAGGTGAGAGTCCACGAACACAAAGATCAGTGGAAAAAGTCGTCCACGTGCCCCTGGAAACATAATCAAGAAGAGGCTCTGTCTGAAAAAGCGACACAAGTCACGTGCACTAAAGTTGCTTCCATATTGAAACATTGCATACTTCAAACTACAGAATAAATAAAATATTCCTATTATTTCGTGCGATAAAATAAAGGTCAAATCGACGGACAAGTGCCTATAGATTTCTATGCGATCGGACTGTTGAACAGGTACTAAGAAACCATTGTTTTCGTACACTAGATAGTTTATGGAAAATATTTAGAGAAAAGTGGCGTGCTTTGGAGACAATATTACGAAGTGGAAACTATACTGTAGAGTAACTGTCAACATGCACGGTTGTTGGATAGGTCATGGCAACAGGGACTGTAACGACGTCGTTTTAACATAACACACTTAACCCTCTGTATATCTATAATATCTCCGAAATAACCTAAATATTATCGACGTTTAGATGATGATATACCTTTAGTATTTTTGATTGTTTGTTATGGATTTCGCGCAAAGCTACACGATGGCTATCCGCGCTAGCCGTCCCTAATTTAGCAGTGTAATTCTAGAGGGAAGGCAGTTAGTCATCACCACCCACCGCCAACTCTTTTACCATCGAATAGTGGGATTGACCGTCACATTATAACACCTCCTCGGCTGAAGGGTGAGTATGTTTGGAGTGACGGGGATTCGAACCCGCGACCCACAGATTGCGAGTCGAGCGCCCTAACCACCTGGCCATTAGTATTTTTGAGACAACCTAATATATATATACCAATTTTTGAATATTTTCTGTAATATCTCCGAACCATCCAAAAATATTTCCAACTCTTGGATACATCTACTACAGTCTAGAAATATCATTTTGGATCGTTTAAGTGTGTATTACAATTTGCAAAGTCTGCGAGATATTTATTTAAAATACCAAAGAAACGTGAATTTTTAGAAACAATAATGTACATATTTACACACACAGAATAAATACAAAGAATATTCCATATGTAAAACGACTATTTTACAAACTACATTCGCCTTTGAAGAGGGGGCACAATTTCACCAAAGATACTTTGATAATCATATTCAGAAAGTTTGGTCACGATATAAGGTTTTAAAAGTCATATTGCACAGCATACCTCCACCACTTTTCTCACAAACCAGCATTGCTTTTTATTCTTATTTCTTCTCATTCGACAATACGAGATCGATGACTTGCAGTAAAAATGCATGTCAGTATATACTTGGATAACGCGAGGATCAACGAACACCGTCCAAAACAGCTGGTGCTTGCGGTATATTCACTTAAGGGTATGCTCGATAAGTTTTTGTTTGTTTGTTAGTAGTTAAGCACAAAGCTACAAACGAGTTATATGTGCTATACTCACCACGGATATTGAAACCCGGAGGGTGGCTTTACTTGATATGCTGATTGAGAATTACAGAAACAATGCTGACCACCTTATGTGACGGTTTTTTTTTAAAAACCCAGTTTTGTATTTAAACGTTCCTGGGTAACACTTAGGATTCGTCAATGTACCTCTGATGAAAGTTACTTTTTCTGGGATGAGTAGCTTTGACAATAACAATTTGACGTTCCTTACGGGCTTTTGCATCAGAGACTACAATAAATTGATAAACAACTATTGAATGGAAATGTGACGATAGTTCGAAATTAGGTAGATTTTTATTACAGTTTACTCGGAGACGTTTAATTAAAAGCCATAATAATTTACAAAATTTTGCATATTAATGTCTTCATGATTGCTATTAGCCACCATATTATGAAAATATTTTTTATAATCTTTATATGTATTGTGTAGCTTTGTGCTTAATAACACATTATATTAGAATACGGAAGACCGTAGGGGACATTAATTTTTTATATTTTGTTTTATCTTCTAATTCAACCACATTTTGGGTTATATGTTCTGTGTTCACCGCAAGTATCAAAACCAGATTTTTTTGCGTTACAAACCCTCAAACTTACCGCTAATCCACCAAGGGGCAATTAATAAAATGATAATTTTTTTATCTGTTTTCTGTATAGTTCGTTTTTAGTAAACAATAAGAGACTTTGGCTAAAAATAAAATAAAACATGAAGCAATGTATAAAACAAAATTTTATTTTTCACAGCATTCTCATGCAGGTTTGAAATAAATGTTGCATTTTTTTTTGGAGAATTTAACGATAATAGAACCACTGAGAGCTTAAAAGAAATATCTTACACGTTATTTTAACACTTCTAAGCTTTTTTTCAGTTCAATAACTTAGCTAACGTAAACTAAACAAAAATATCTTATGGTCTTTCTCGTACAAGGCCAGTGATTCTATTAAATCAAATTTTAAAAATATTTTCCAACTTTGAAATATGAACTCAAAACTTAATAAATATTTTCCTAGAAAAATTATTTTTATCTATATTTTAGTACACAGTTTTCAAAAGGTTGCAATAAAAAAAATCAACCATTACGTAAAACAGCTCGTTAGTTCACAAAGTATTCCTGAAGTCCAACACTATAACAGCTCCTTCTAAGCGATATACACACATTATAACAAAACCCTAAAAGATCATATTTTCTGTGACATACGTCATCATACATTCTAGTTGTTGGTAATTTTATGTTATCTGGGTTTCTAGCGATCACGGACAGAAATTCAGTAACTACTACTATTTTTTTTAATGACCATTCTTTATTTCCAACTTTCTGAAGACATCGTGTTGTTCATTACGTTCCACTGGTAAGAATTGTAAAGTTGAAACATTATAAACTATACTGAGAAATTCCTAACTATTGAAAGGTCCAGAGAAAGTAGAGAGGAGTTTTTTCCAGTAACGGGAAGGGAATCTTAACACCTGTGCAACTATCTCCATTAGTGCTGACTCTATTGTGTTTGTGGATATTCCAAATCTATTGAAAGTTCAAGTTTCGTATAGGCATCTCTAAAGTAGAAAGAAACCAGAGAAGTGAAATTGACATGCGCCGACAGACTGGTTACAGCGAAACCATCTCGTTAACTGTAAGATCCGAATTGTCTTTTACAAACATTCTGTTATGTTTCTGTTACTATCGAACACGAAAAACATTCCAAGGATTATGTATTATTAGGAGAAATAGAATGCAATTTCGAAACAAACTGAAAAAAACAAAAACATCATCATCTTTAAGTTAAACTTAGTTTCGATGTCGCACATTACTAAAAAGGAACAAGATGGCAATGACCGTTAACCAAACACTCATCAAACTCGCCTGTATGATTGAATCTCCGACTTCTACCAATAATAAACACTACAATTCCATCGAGGACTGCGAATAAATGGTGAAGTGTAATTAATTAACTGTTTTCTTAGAGGCTGAAGTTTCTGTATATTGCATGTCTCCAAATAAATATTCATTAAACGTTAGAATATTTACTGTTTATAGCTTGAAAACAGTCTTCTATATTCAAGTTAAAATATATATAAAATTCTAAATACTTCCTATATACTTCCTATATAAAAGTCGTGTTTTACATTTGTAAGCGTCAAAATATCCACAAATTTACCATCAACAAACGTTGTTAACAGGGAAGTTAGGTTAAAGAGAAATATGGTTAATGACATCCAAAAATAATGATGAATATGAAGCCAGGAATATACAAGCTTGTAATTTGCAACAGAGTTATATAGAGCCTGGGGAAGATCAGCCATAATATTTTTAAATTTTTTTGGTTCTGTATAATAATAAAACGTTCCGTTAAAATATATCCTTGAGGGTTTTATCTTATCATTATACTTTTTAAAACCAGTCACCCATTAACAGTTGGTTGAATCTGGTAAACAGTCTATTGCAGTTTAAACAAGTTTTAACATCAATGAAATCATTTGAAAATGAAGAGTCTTCTACCATCATCTTCTCTAGAATTTTATTTAAATAATTTATTTTCCAGCTTTCGTTTTATTTTTCTCAAATTTTTTCATCATTTCCCATTTTGTTTATACCAGTAAATAACGACGGAAAATTGTTTTTTAATTTTACCCTTAGTGGGTAATGATTCAAATACAAAATGTTTGGCAAATAGTGAGTAGTGGTCGTAATCTGATAGATGACTAAGGCTTTAGTTCTGAAGCTATTAAACAAATCATCTGTATGTCCTCTAGTAACATGCAAACAACGATATGAACCACTATCACACCAATCTTCCTCTACGTTATAAAATAACAACACAGTCCAAAACAAAACGAGAGAACGCATGCTATGGCCTATAAAAATTTCTAGGCCTAAAACTCGCACGAAAAACGTATATTAAAAACTAATGCCCCCGTTTCAATAAGAGATTCCTCATAATTGTGAACTGGCAATGTCAGATAAATAGGATATAGTTAGTAATTAAATGAACTTTTAATTCAAAGTCTCAATAGCGTGTAGGAAGTAAATAGGGTGATACAGTCTTCCCATCGTGTTCGAATTACACCAGTTAAGATCAGACAGATCTTGCGCATCTGATCATTATATCAATATAAGAAAAAAAGGCATAATAATTGTTGACAACAGGGAGTCCGTAGAAACGGACGTTGTGTTTGATAGTCTCTCGTACGATTCTCCGATTGTTCTTTCTTTACATTGCTATCACCATTGACCCAATAATGCATTCTTACAACGCAGATAACTTGGAAAATAATATAAAAACAAATGTAAATAACAAACACCAACTGGGAATGATCACTATAAAGCAGAAATGCGATATGGAGTGTATTCGGACCTAAGGTACAGTGGAAAACCTGTACTTTTAATAAGTTCTCTACTATTAATAGTCCCTTACCGACATTAATTTTAAATCTAATGCAACATTTTTTTTATTTACAGGGTAAGTGTTTGGAAGCGTGAAGAGACCGTAAAAAAAAAAAAAAACTCTACAGAAAAAAAACAAAAACAGTACACGATTGGTTACGCCAATCATAAAAGTTTAAAACGTACCCTCGAACAACGTCATATTAGTTAAAAGTTTTGATCAGAAAACTCTTCTGGACAGTTATAAAGTTTGATTGTACATATACTTTATAGCATAAAATATATTTAACTAATATAGAATAAGAGGAATTAAAAAGAACGGCAGAGATATTTTATTCTTTTAGAGGGAATGACTAGTCAAATAAGATGCCAATTTGGGCCATGAAAATGTGATTAAAAACTTGCCTGAAAGAAAAATAATAGTTTTGACCCTCAGATCACCTCTTAGATGTTACATACAAACTCTGTACATAACCCAGACTAGGTAACAACAAACTCCAATAACATATATTTTTACCTAGTTCAGAATGAACAATATTTATGTACAAACCTGGTACAAAACAACAACCTTTGTCTTTCTCAAGTTTTTATAAAATTAAAACCATCTTAACCTCAAAACTTTAATTTAAACTTGAACGACATCACTTGCTTAATCTTCTCAAGAACTAAGCCTAAAAGAGCACAAAAGAATGTTCAAATAGCCGTTTCAATTCCGTGTCTCGTATGTTCTAGTGGTTTGGAGGGTATCCGTGAGACAGCGCTGGTGATGTTTGTAGCCACGACTGTTTCTGCTGATTCACTCAAAGGTCTTAGTTTCGCAGAATCCCTAAAACAATAAAAAGAACTCGTTCTAACATTTTTTGAATAAGCGGAAAAACGTAAAGTCTGAAAGCTGGAAATGATTCGCTTGTAAAAGAGCAATCAGCTCATTAAATTAAACAGTAACAATTTTCATAAATTATTCTTCGAAAGCATATAATTCAAAGAATTCCCATGCTTTTCAATCATCTATTGTATCAATAGGATTTTAATCTGGTAACATAAAACTTTTGTAAACCTATTCTTCTACCGTGTTTAACATTTCTGTAAACGTTCTGTAACCTTTGGATCACTTTACTTAATAGGATTTTAATCTGGTAACATAAAACTTTTGTAAACCTATTCTTCTACCGTGTTTAACATTTCTGTAAACGTTCTGTAACCTTTGGATCACCTTACTTTATAGGATTTTAATCTGGTAACATAAAACTTTTGTAAACCTATTCTTCTACCGTGTTTAACATTTCTGTAAACGTTCTGTAACCTTTGGATCACCTTACTTAATAGGATTTTAATCTGGTAACATAAAACTTTTGTAAACCTATTCTCCAACAGTTTTAACATTTCTTCATTATCCAATATACTTCCTCTAGAAATTTAAAATATATCTTATGAAACTTTCCGGCACAAGAAAGTACCTGAAAGTTTTATTTGAAATCTACAATCCATTTGTTTGTATGTTTCAGAATTTTCACACGAAGCTACACAAACAATCGTTCCAACTTTTGAACTGATAGACAAGAGGGAAGGAACGTGTTTTTGCAGCAACAGGGTGAGAACCATAAACTTTCATATTCACAGTTCTAGCACGCTAACCACTAGGCCACGCTCGACACATCTACACTCGAAAGTATTGATTCTCTACTCACATACTGAAGCGGCCATTACGATTTTCTGTTTTCGAAGATAAAGTTGACAACATTGTATACTGTCCTGCATCCTGATGTGCATTGGTCATTTCTTCTTTCACACGAATAAGCATTTTTCTGACATCCTGATTCTGTGGGGCTAAGCGCAATGCCTCGTTCAGATCACGAAGGGCAGCTTCTAGATGACTAAAAACAAAAAGGGATTATATAAAATTGGTCAAACACGGCATGTTGCAGAACAATTAATTAATTAATTTTAAAAATGCGACTGTCACCAGCTGGAACTTACTCTAAAACATAATATCACATCAAACATACACTTTCACCAATGATTCAAAGAAATAACCATGACGATTGTTTCTTTTTAATTCAACAGGATAACTTCTTTAGCAAGACAGGGTGATAACATTCTAAATTTTTCTCCCTAACTTTCCATGTAAAATTCTAGAGTTTTCGGAGTTGCACACTGATATTTCAGCTTTTCCTACTTAAGTTTATTAAAACCACATTTTCTTATAATCTGGTTCTAATAACCTTTTTTTCCTGTCTATCTATATGTAATAATAATAATGATAAAACAGGAAAACATTCGCACACAAGACAAAAAAGGATACAAATAACCACAGAATCCACTCAATATCTCGGAGAAGAGGGCTCATTAATGATGAATGTTTTTTGGATACACATTAGCTTTTACTTTATGTATACTGGCCACGTTGCTGTTTGTTTGTTTTTGAATTTCGCGCAAAGCTACACGAGGGCTATCTGCGCTAGCCGTCCCTAATTTAGCAGTGTAAGACTAGAGGGAAGGCAGCTAGTCATCACCACCCACCGCCAACTCTTTTACCAACGAATAGTGGGATTGACAGTCACTTATAACGCCCCCACGGCTGAAAGGGCGAGCATGTTTGGTGTGATGGGGATTCGAACCCGCGACCCGCAGATTGCGAGTCGAGTGCCCTAACCACCTGGCCATGCCGGGCCCCACGTTGCTGAGAGGTTCTTCACTCCAGAATATATATAATTTCCGTTTTCCCACCACCGGTCATGAAACGCAAGCTGTATCCACGATCTTTTTATTCAATCTTATCACAAACGTGAATAGTGTGCTTTTCATTAGCGTTCTTAAATCTAGTGATTACTTCGTCTACAGTATAGTGTAATTAAGCACAAAGCTACACAATGGGCTATCTGTGCTCTGCCCACCACGGGTATCGAAACCCGGATTCTAGCGTTGTAAGTCCGCAGACATACCGCTGTGCCACCTGGTGGGCAGCATGGAGTGCCAAACTGACTAACTTTTTACCTTATCTCCATAGAAGATATGTTGGTTGATCTTTAGTTACTAGCGGATAGAGGGCACTAAATTTTGCACAACTACATCACGTAAAATGGATTACTAAAACTGCCGATTCTACATTTTAAATAAATCCAGGCACACGTGTTAGAACGTAAATAATCACTACCGTTGACTTCAGGTTCTGGAAATTCTACATGTCTGCTACTAAATAGAGCATCTAATAACAAATAATTAACTGAAATGCGATATCGATAATAATGGCCATTCCCTGTCAAACGATACACGCGAGTTGACTTATAGCAAAAGGCCTCTTCAGCAGCAGCATGCAATATAAAATGACTGAGGATGAAATACTATTATATTCGTCTTAGTGGAAAACAGGACCAGTACAGAAAGACTTGATGAAAAGTATTATGACTCTTATTATGATGTAATGTCACACAAATTACTGATCTACAGATGACGCTTCGCCAGCATAAGCGGTATAGACTATAAGAAGTAATAAGCTAAACGTATGCGTTAATAATGGAAACTAATATTATAATACGTATAAACAAGATATTTTACTCTCTCATAGTGTATTTCTTATGGACAAAATTTTTAAGTCCTTCTAAAGTTCTAATTTGGGTCAATATGTTAAGTCCGGTCATGCCTATAAATACAATCTGAAGTGTTATTTTTTTTGTAGTTTGACCATTCCAAAAATCAATTCATCTGTTGTTTCGTGGAATGCTGGCATGATTTTGATTGGTGAACTACAAAAAGAGTGAGCATTGTGAAAGCAGTTTTGGTGCCTTTTAAAGGACATTCATTCTGATCCTAGTGAGCAATATGCCTTTAAAAGACCCTAATCATGGGTTCTCATTATAATCCCCCACCTCATCCATAGCAGCAACAAATCTACAACCATTATTAAATAATATAGAAGAATATTGCCAAAAATATCGAATAAAAATAAACGTTCCTCAAAACCAATTACTTACTTTCACGAGACTAACAAAACATAAAAAAAAAAGACCTACCTAAACCATACACTTCTCTAGACCACAACCTCGGCAAAATTTTTAGGATTAACGCTCGACCGCGGTCACAATTATCAAATTTATAAAGCTCAATATAAAGTTTTCATACCCACAAGCTTTAGAAAGTTCAGTTAAAAAAGCAACAATTCGGTTTAGTGTTTGTAAAATTTGTAACCAAGCATTTCGAAAACATAAACACTTAAGTACTTTCCAGGCCTGGACATTCAAAAACTAAATTCCATGATTTTTCAGACTTTACAAGCGTCCGCATCAACCTATCCTTTGCACTTAAGTACTTTCCAGGCCTGGACATTCAAAAACTAAATTCCATGATTTTTCAGACTTCACAAGCGTCCGCATCAACCTATCCTTTGACAAATCTCTGTGCGTGCGTTCGCTTATAACTGTCGAACCGATATACTGACTGTCAGCAAACCTGGCATATACCCTTAAGGTCCCCCGGGGTGTGACACAGAGACTGAACACTTTAGCGTTCAGATCTGACTTCCCCCATGTAACCCTCTTACTCGTGTGTTGAACGAGTACATAAGCTAGCCTAAGTTAAAGAGGGTAATAAAAAGTTAAGAACATACTTAGTTAAAGAGTAATAAAAAGTTAAGAACATACTAAGTTAAAGAGTAATAAAAAGTTAAGAACATACTTAGTTAAAGAGTAATAAAAAGTTAAGAACATGCTGCGCATAGCTACTGGCGTATGTTAACATAATTTGAAGTAGTCATTTTTATTTTTTTACTTTGATGATAATTATGTAATTCCTTATGATAGGTTAGATCAAATTCTCTATTGTGAATAAAAATACTGAATTTCTAAAATTAAATAAGAAGCCCGGTTTATTATTCTGTTTGCCCTGTACAGGGATACTGACGAGGGTTGGAATTCCCAGACACCAGTTATCCTAGACAGGGCATATTGATTGATAGATTGGGCTTCATATTAATTTTTAGTATCTTAAACAGCTTGTTTGCTGAATAATTTAGAAAACTAAACAAGTAATATCAACGCTATGTGTTCTTGTATTACCACTAAATATACCATGCGTATTTTATTAAGTTGCAATATCCTTGTGGGAAGATATGTTTTTGCAGTATCTTAGCTCTTAAGTAATTATAATTTTTGAAGTGTTAGCCCAATAAAAATTGTAGGAAAAGTGCACAGTGAATAACTGCTATTTCAATGAAATTCTATATAATAATATAAGTTTTCATACAGCTGATAGGTTTGGATTGACGTGGGGTAGAAACGAAACAATAACATATTACACTATGTACTTTGTATGTCCAGATATCAGGTGACCACGAATCTGGAAGTCCTCGAAAACTTAAAAAACTTCAAAAATTATCCACAAAAGCGGGGGAAATTGTGGCCTCACGTTGTTTTGTACTTAAGAATCAGCATGTGCACGCAAACCCATATTTAAAAAAAAATTATAACCCAATATACATAAACTGAAAAGTCTTCAAAAAATCATAACAAGACCTATAGTACCAAAGATACAAGTACATTATAATTCTGATATTTTGTCTGTTTGTTTTAGAAGTTTCGGTCAAAGCAACACAAAGGGCTATTTGCGAGTAGCCGTCCCCAATTTCGAACTAAGAGATCAGAAGCAACGCAGTTAGTCAGTCAACAGCACCTCTGGAATTATTCTTATCTGACCGAAACATGAGATTTGACCGTAAAATCTAACTGATGGACAACACACTACTGTATGTATAGTGGTGCGAGTGGTTAAAACAGGTGACCCCTCCAGGCGGCCATTGGCCCCCCCTTTTGGGGAAATAATAATAAAAACATGGAAGTTTGTCTAAAACAATGATTCCACACTCACACACACACACACACACACATAATAATAATAATATACGATTTTTGTCTTAAAATTATAGAAAAATAAACGAATAATTGTGTAAAAAGAATTAACAGTTGAGCGAACTTCCCTCTTAAACAAATATTGCCATTATTAAAGAGTTTGACCACACACAATACAACCCATACATTTAAAGACAAAGTTTTTTATTCGTTTAATATTTTCAAAACATTTACATGTTTTTGTTTGTTTGTTTCTTACAGGTTTACTTGGCAGCACTTACGAAATATGTTATTGCAAAATACAAATACACCAAACGTTACTTTTCACGCATTTAGCAGCGTTGGATTTTATTGCAAAAATGTATTTACCAAAATACTTACCCAGCTTCTTGCCTAGCACGTGCTCTCGTGTAATAGCCTTCAAACGCTTTAGGTTTAGTTTCCGTTGCTTTATCTGCAGCTTCAATGGCTGCCACATAATCCTAGATAAAAATCATATATCAATGAGTCAATAGGTCAAAAATTTATTAAACAAGCCTTTTGAAAGGATATATATATAGTTAAAGTAGAAATCTAGCGCTACCTTTTGGACAAATAATAAAATAAGTTTATTTGCTGCTTGATGAATTCAGAGGCTGATTAGATCGTTCGAATTCAATTGGCTAATTAGTTTTGAGACAGATTATATAACTTTGGATTGGACAACCTTATAAATGAATAACTTATCATCTTACAACTGAAAACTATACACTTTTAAACACATTTGACTAGTTTTTTTGCCAACTTCCTCAACATTCATATCTTAAATGATACAAACGTTTTTTGTTTTTTAACTTACACGCATCTTTCGTTTGCACCGTGACAAGGAGATTAAAAACTGGAATTTGAGCTGTTGAAAAATGAGTTGATATTCTCCAAGTGGTTCTTCTTTTGGAAACTTCTTCAATCCGTACTGGTAGCGATAAGCTGCTTCCTTGAGTCGACCCTTCTGTATTCACATACCAAACATCAAAAC